ATTTGGGTTTCCCCATTTAAGAGGGCCCCCCTGGGGTCCCATAAGGGGATCGCTGGTTTTTTAAAAGGTTCGGGGAAGGGGGGGGCAAAAAATTTTTTAGGGGGTTCCCCTTCCCAGGGGGACCCCAAATTTTTTTTTGGAGGGGGGGTTCAAAAAATTTAGGAGGGGCCTTTGAAAAAAAAAAAAGGGGGGGGTTTTTCCCCAAAAAAGTTTCCGGGGGGGGGGGTTCGGAAAACCCGGAAAAATTTTCCCCCTTAAATTTGGGGCTTTAAAAGGCAAAATTTATAAATTTTTGCCCCCGGCCCGGGGAAATTTTTTGAAATTTTTTTTGGTATCCGGGGTTCCCCCCCCTTAAAAAATTTTTTTGCCCGGGGAAAATCTTTTTTTTTAAAGGGGGGGATTTTAAAAAATTTTTTTTCCTAAAAAGAGGCCCTTTTAAAAAGGGGGGGGAAACCCCCCCAAATTTTTTTTTCCCCAAATTTTTTTTTTTCCCCCCCCCCCCCCCCCCCCCCCCCACACACACACACATATATATATATATATATATATATATATATATATATATATATTTGTGAACTTTTATCTGACAGTTTTTTTAGTTTTATTGAGGCTTACCATTTACATTTTCTTTAGATACTTCATCTTGAATGGGCTTGAGAGAGTTGTTCGTCTTCTTATATTGCCTAAGCGAAACTATGTAAGTTCATCAGTATGCATCTATGTAACCATATTTCTATGGTCATTGTATGCATTCCTCTAGTGAATTTAGTTTGAGTAAAAACTTATTCTCTCTTGTTGTTGTTTACTCACCTGCTTGTGTTCTTATCTAGCCAACGAGCGTTGTCCGGAATTCATTTCGTGAACGACGTGAAGGTTATACTGATAAAGCTGTTGTCATAAGGTTCGATTTAATTTCAACTTTCACACCTCTCAATCTTTTAGTTTTTGTAACTTCAAGGTGGAAAATCAAATCTTTTATAGATTGTATGATTTAGTAGACCTGCGTGCCACACTGTTGCTTGTAATCTTTCATGCTTTGAATAGACATGGACCATCGTAATTTGCACCAAGTCAGAAATCATTGTAAGATGATTAAGTTATCTTTTATGCCTTTGACTTCCCTCAAAGTTGCTGGTCATTTTGGTTGAAATGACAACATATCGTTACCTGATATGAGCTCCTCTAATCGTAAATGAAATAAAAGAAATATTTGTCCAGCTGCATGTTCTATGTCGATATGTTGAAACTTGGGCCATGCTTCTTAAAGCTCTTCAAGTTTTTTTTTCTATCATATTTATATGTTGCAAAAATATATCACTTAAAAGAATATTGCTATGGGATATTAATTTTGTTTTTTGGTTATGAACAATCAGATGTGTTAGAGAAGACCAGTCCGCTGTGACAGTTAAACTATACTACCTCAATAATGGAAGTGCAAGGCTTGGATTATGGTGGGAATTTATTACTTAGCGGTGTATTGGACTTTGTCCTGTATGGTCAAATAATTAAAATCTAAACTTTGTTCCTCTTTCAGGATACAAGGAAGGGAATACCTACTTCCTGTTGGCATCATATTAAAGGTACAGTAAAAGTTCTCTCATAACCTTTGACGGTATTTATTATTGTAAATTACTCTTGATTCTTGAAGTTTCTCCAAAATAGTTATGTATAGCTACTTACCTACAAGTTCCAAAATGTATGGCTGGTTTTATTGATTTTGCTCGATGCCGACCTTACCTTTCTATGTATACTCGATAGTTGAGGGATATGTTTTGATGTTTATCATTGTGTAAACGAAAATTCAGACTGAAAATACTTTGGTATACAGTCGGGTCTTGATCCTCTTTATGAGGAAGCTTTGAAACAGTTACAGGCTGTCTGGCTTCGGATTTTGGAGAATGGGGGAAAAGGATATTAGACGAGTTTAGGAGTGACAAAATGGGGTAAAATAGCGGAAAGTGGAGAGCAGTTTATAGTCGGACTTAAAATAATGTGATAGAAAATTCTAAAATACATGGTTAAACAATGATTAATATTAGTAGTAGGATGTTATCATTACATTATGAGTCGAATCTCTCACTACTCTCTTTTCTCATTGTCCACTCCATGTAGGCTCTGACTGAGACAACGGATCATGAAATCTATGTGAGCTTAACATGCTGCTACAATGAGAAGTACGACCGGGTTAAAGGATCTGTTGGCACTCAACTCGTTGGTGAAAGAGCTAAAATCATATTGGATGAACTTCAGAACTTGTCCCTTTATACCCGTGCTCAGTGTCTGCAGCACATTGGTATTGAATTTAACTACTGCCTTTTTATCCTTCATGTGCGGATGGAAGTCTTAAAATATTTTTTATTTTTCAGGGGAGCATTTCCAACCTCTTATGGTGGGACTGGAAAAAGAGGGCTACTCCGTTGTAAGTTTTTGTTTTCTATGCAAATTATACTACGCGATGATCACTATTATGTTTCTTCTTAGTTTTGGTATCCCTTGTAGACTGCTCTCACTTAGAAGATATTTCACGCACCTATACACACATCTTCTTTTGCACGGAGTGTACATTTTTTCAATCTTTCACTCATTTCTTTCTACTTCTCTTTTGCAGATTGCTGATGCTGTATTAAGAGATTACGTATTTGTTCATCTTGATGAAAATATTGACAAGTTCAATTTACTCATGTTAGTGTTTACTTTTTCTGTTGTTGCTAGTATATATATATTTTCTTTGATAATATCTATAGAGCAACATCAGTAGACATCTTTATCCCTTTGAAACTAATTCAAATGTCAATTTAGCTTCATGTTGCAGAAACTGTTTTCTCTCGTAGACCAGACTTCGGTTCCTGACAATACAGATTCTTTACAAAATCACGAAGTCCTATTGCCTGGACACTTAATAACCATTTATGTCAAGGTAAAAACCTTGGTATTTCATTCCAAGGAGATGCTTCTTTTTGTATAAATTCATTTTTAATGAATAGTGAATGTACATACTCTGCTAAATTTGATTTAAGATATTTTCTTTATCAAATAAATTCGTTTTATCTAATACTGAATGTACATGCTTCGTTTGGTATAAGTCTTCATATGAATCATGTGTCGACATCATAGCCCCAACTGTAAAGAAAGACTTCGATGTATGCAAATAATGTGTAATAATGCTGTCCAATCTAGTTATCATCGATGAACATGTTTTAAGCAGTACTCCTAGGCACACAGTGAAGAACTTTTTTATACCCATCAAGTGAATGTTTCAGGTTTTCTTTGGGAATAACTATCTACTTGTTGCAAATTTAGTTTACTTTCCTGTCTCATTAGGCTAGTTAATTGTGAAATAAAATACATGGCCCGATGATACATCAGTTGCCGACTGAAATTTGTAGACTTGTAACCGGTGGTGTTTTTGACAAAGCATGGTGATAATGTTTACTGTGAAGCTCCATATCTGTAGTTAGTCGTTATTACTTTGTTGGTCCTCCTGATCATGCCTAAAGCGGAAATCCGCAGGCTTAAGCGTGGAATTGATTTATATCTAATTTGTTATTTACTGGATAGAGGGGTGACACAGATGATTTCTGAGTAACTAGTTAGTTGTGTTGTCTAGTATGTTACATGGTGTATTAGTGATTTCATTTTGAGTTATATAAAATACATTTGTTATATTGCAGGAAAAACTACAAGACTTTTTGCTCAAGGCCAAACAGGCTCTTCAGGATGTTGTTGACAATAAAAAGAAGAATTTTGAGATGAGCAGCTGTATGCTTCTATACCCATTTCGATTTTAGCTCTCTGTATTTTTCTTTTATTTGTGGTTCGTCTCTAATCTATTAGTTTCATGTCAATATTACTTCATCGTCCATCTCCAGCTCCCATAACCATACGTTTCTAGGTTTTTGTAGCTGGTGTTTATTTTATCATCTTATTGTGAAAGACCATGTTCTAAGTTCTTGGACAGGTGTTTATAGAGGCCCCGTGATTTTTTGGATTCAAATTTTTAATTGTGTTCCCCAGCTGCAGCAAAGCTCTAAGTATAAAATATGAGTTTGTGTGAGAGTTAAAACCATTAGGCAGGCTTGCTTACCATTAGTATAGGAAGTTCCATGTGACAGATCATCAATTTTGTTCTAATCGTGGGTCCAACTTTATATGTTCCTTTACTATCTTCGAAGAGCAGTGCTTGTGTGCCGAAGTGGAATTTTCTTTTTCATCTTTAATCATCTCCCTAACAATAGATAATGTTATATTTAGATTTATGGTTCTGCTTTTGGTACACAATAATCATAAGCATGACCTAGTTTTTATGGACTTTAGGTATTAGATGTGATCCTAATAAGTGAACTGTTCTTGTTTTACTCTTATGCACAACGTTCTGGGGACCTGTCTTGTATCTTTCTGTTTTGATATGCTCAGTGTTGTTCTGGTAAATGCAGTGGCAGATGTTAAGAAAGTCATCGACAAAGCTTTTCCAAAGCAAATTGGTGCAGCTATTGAAAATTTGTTGAAGACGGGAAATTTGGTTACAAAAACTGGTCTAGATTTGCCGCAGGTATGGTAGTGACATTCTCCTTCAGTATAAAAGGAGCTACGTACACGTATACAGATTAAGATCTTACATTTGAGGAGTTTACGGTTGGAATATACATCTGATGAGTGATAACTGTTTGTTTGAGGGGTTAATGTTCAAAACTCTTCTACTGAAAAGCTCTCTGAAAATCCTAGTATCTAAAATCATTTAATTTTTCTGATCTTTATTAGCCATGCTAGAAATCTCTGATTTTTCCAAGTTTCTGTTGCTAGAAATCTGGGATGACAGTTCTGGCCGAGAGATTAAACTTTCTGCGTTTTATTTCTCACTTTCGAGCTGTCCATCGAGGTTCTTTATTTGCTGGCCTTCGCACCACAAGTGTACGAAAGTTGTTGCCTGAGTACGTACTACTCTCACTAAAGTACTCTAGACATGTGATCATATTTTGCTGTTCTTTTCTTGTTTTTCCTCCATTTCTCACCCCATTTTCCATTCATACCGATATATATAATTCTGTGCAGGTCCTGGGGATTTCTCTGTCCTGTTCATACACCTGATGGGGAGCCATGTGGGCTGCTGAATCATATGACTTCCTCTTGCCGTAAGAACTCGTCTTCTAATTTCATCTTTTTCCTTGAGAAATTTTGATTAGCAGATGGTGACGGCCAATGTAGTCATAAAAACTTAGTCATAGAAATTTTCTGAAGCAATAAATATCTTTGACTCTTTGGCAGGGATAACTTCACATTATGATTCTGAAGGACAAGTAAAAGACTTCCTTGAAATTCGAAAGTCGATTTCAAGAGTGCTGGTGAGCATTGGAATGATTCCATCATTGCCAAAGCTTGTGCAAGCTGGTCCCCCTGAAGTTCTTCCTATTCTTCTAGATGGGCGTGTTGTAGGTTCTATTGCATCTGATATCGTTGGAAAAGCTGTCACTCACCTGCGGAGGTTAAAGGTTTCAGCAACTTCTGCGGTACTTTTTGTCTCTACTTCCTTTTGCTTTTGCCCCCCTCCCAAAAAAAAAAAAAAAGAAAAAAAAAGAGAAGAAGAAACAGTTCTGGCGACAACTTATCATAGTTAACATGTATCAGATACCTGAGGATCTTGAGGTTGGTTATATACCTCTGAGCATGGGTGGTGCATACCCTGGCTTATACCTGTTCACATCTGCATCAAGATTTGTTCGACCGGTGAGAAACCGCCTGATACCTCCTGGTGAGAGCAACAATATTGAGCATATTGGGCCCTTCGAGCAGGTGGGTGTCGCCACATGGCATTGTACATCTAATCTTATTGAAGCATGAAGTCGATTTTTTTACTATATTAATTTGCTTGTTTGCATTAAACACCATCAGAGCTTCTGAAAGATATACTTGTATGCATGTAGGTCTACATGGAAATTAGTTGTCCTGATGGTGGAGATGGAGGTAGGAAGAATGTATTCCCGGCTACTCATGAAGAAATTCATCCAACTGGAATATTGAGTGTTGTTGGAAATCTCACACCTTGGTCTGACCATAATCAGAGTCCTCGTAATATGTACCAGTGTCAGGTCTTTCATCTTATTTTTATTTGGGATTCGATATGTTTTTGATCCATAATGCAAATCTTTGTAATTTGACTCTTTCTCGCCTTTATCTTTAATAGATGGGAAAACAAACAATGGGTTTCTCTTGTCAAGCTATAAATTGTAGAGCCGATCAAAAGCTGTATCATCTTCAGGTTAGTCTTAATCATTTTCCATCCTTCTGAGTGTCGTTAAAAAGTTTACTCTATCTGTTACTTTTTCCTGATTTATTTACTTCTGAAGCGGATTTGCTTTAACTTATCCTAATGCTGCAAGGACTAACATCATTATCAATACCTGGCTTTTAATAGTTGAAAATACAAATATTTTTTTTGGCGTTTAAATTATTTCTTATTTTCTGTCAAATTGGGGAATAAGCATATTCTGAGATACTCCTAATAAGGATTAGGATTACCAGGTTACTTGCTCGAGAGTTTTGTTTTCAAAAAGCTTCAATTGTTGAGGATCATATTTTGGTTTAATAGAGTTGATTCCTTTCTGTAGCCTCATGGTCAGATGAAGCTGCAACCAGCAAACTTTCTAGGAATAATTTGTTACTAAATTTTTCTATTTGTTTGATCTAATTGTTTCTTTTATCACTCAAGATTTTCCAGCGTAATTATTCACTCGGTTGATGTGGTCAGTTGAAGTAAATTGAACCTCTGAGAGATTCACTTAATCCCATTTATTATTGATTGTGTTAAACATTATCTCTGCGCTTCGTCTCGACATTTTTTTCTAGTCTAACCATGGGACGGTGTTTGCAGACTCCACAGACGCCAATTGTGCGCACAAAGACGTATGAGAAATACAACATTGACGATTATCCACTAGGAACCAATGCCATTGTTGCAGTGTTGGCATATTCAGGGTAACTAATTCACGCATTGTTTTCCTAATCGTCTCTCAGAATGTTGTTTCATTTTCATTTGTTCTTCTCATTCACTGCAGATATGATATGGAGGATGCTATGGTACTAAATAAATCATCTGTTGACCGTGGAATGTGCCGTGGATACATATACCAGGTCTGCTAGTACTCAATATATTCATTTAATGTAGAACATGTTGTGAAATGTACTGCTTAGAGGATTTGCAACCTCCATACGTGTTATCCTTCCTCTCATTCCTTCTCTTTTATTTTGGTTTTTTGTTCCGAATAAAAAATATTTTTTAGAATAGAAAACAGTATTCTATTTAAGTTAATAAGGTAGTAAATTCATTTTTTAGTATTGGGTTTCACTTGAATCTTTGTTGGCTTTGTAACAAAAGCAAAGTCTGGGATGTATATATTTTTTTTCAAGAAATAAAAGTCAACCACAGTAGGTTATTGGAACTGCAGAGAGAATAAATAAAGTTGAATAGGTTATGATGTTATTAGAGATTCTTACGACATGATAGAATATCTTGATAGTTTATTTTTTCAACGTTAGTTGTTTGCCTGAAATGTTGTGTTGTTCTTTGCAGACAGAAAATATAGACCTGACAGAAAAAGGGAGCAAGTCGGATCGCTCGCAACAAACATTTGGGAGAAGCAATCTGGACAAGTCAAGTCATCATTTGATTGATTCTGATGGACTTCCCTATGCTGGCCAGGTGTTTGATATATGCATACAGTATATTTTCACTATTTTTCTCCTTAGAAATGGTGTTAACTAATTTATTTGTGTAATCACTTACCAGAGGATAAAGCCCGGTGATCCGTATTGTAGTGTCTACAATGGAGTCACGAGTAGAGTTACAACATCTAAGTTAAAAGGTTCAGACCATGCCTACATTGATTATGTTGCTGTTGACGTTAAGACCAAAACGCGTATGCAAAAAGTAAGCGCCTATACTTGTACAAGTCTGATTATCTTCATACCTATATTTCCTCATGGCATAGAATAGCGAAATATAAATAGAACCAAAGAATCGAGTGTGTTGGTTATTCGATGCACCGTTCTGTAAATTAATGCACCACTATTTTATAAACTATTGGTCATTGCTTAGCATATATAACCACCATAAAAATTCTATTCACTTATCCTTATGCAGGCGAATATCCGTTTTCGGTATCCAAGAAATCCGGTAATTGGTGATAAATTTAGCAGCAGACATGGTCAAAAAGGTGTTTGCTCTCAGCTATGGCCAGACATCGATATGCCATTTTCAGGAGTTTCCGGAATGCGGCCAGATCTTATTATCAATCCCCATGCATTTCCTTCTAGGATGACGATTGGAATGCTTTTAGAATCAATGGCTGCTAAGGTATGACCAGTAATCATAACTATTTTATTGCCAACTTCTCTTAGCTAGTTAGGGTAATTACGTCTTCTGAAGTAAAGCCAGCATCACAGCAGTATATAACTCATTCACTGTTGTTAAAGATCTCTGCATAAGCCGTGTACGACTTATTTTTGGTCAACATATCGAAAGAACTAAGCTCTAAAGACTCATAGTTGTGTAGTTCAGAAATGCCCAAAGGCAAAAATAAAATCATTTCTATAATGCTGGCTTCATCGCATGCTTATCTTGGTTTATATATACGTGAATTTTGATCTTCAGTCAATATCAAAATCAATCATGGAACCCTCGTATCTTTTGTAATGATCTCAACTCTCTCACTGATAGTGTTCCCTCTTCTCTAGGTTTTTTATATCAGTTCCACCATTCATGTGTGTTTAGGTTCAAATCTAACTGAGTGAGATTTAGTTTACTTATAATGTCATTTGTAACACACCCGAAAAAATGATCTACTATAAGGGTTTTGATTCTGAAACACTATTTTCATATGTGATTGATTGTAGGGAGGTGCCATGGATGGTAAATTTGTTGATGCAACACCTTTCTCGAGCTCTGTGAAGAATTCTTCTGAAGAATCTGGATCAGAACTCACCTCACTTGTAGATGAACTTGGTTCTAAGTTGATTGCACGGGGATTCAATTACCATGGTGTGGAGGTATTGTACAGCGGTGTTTACGGCACCGAGCTGACGTGTGAAATCTTTATCGGACCCGTATACTATCAACGTCTGCGGCATATGGTTTCGGATAAATTTCAGGTGCTAGATTTTCTTTGAAAGTTTAATGTTTGCAATTTGTTGTTATCAATATTATGCATTTACTGCATTTAGGTGTGATCAAAATGGAATGAAATTTATATGTTCATATGTGACTGTTTTTTGAGTTGTGCCTTTGCAGACCTTTTTTATGAATAAGAATCGGTATCTTGAAATGATCAATATATCTAAAATTTGTTGATTGTCTAGGTCATTAAATTGAATACTAAATGTTCTAATTAAATTTGCCATGATCTTTACCAAGACATAATCAGAAAAATAAACTAAAAATTCCTTAATTTTATTTTTGCAGGTTCGGTCCACAGGAATAGTGGATGAGGTGACTAGGCAACCTATCAAAGGTAGAAAACGTGGTGGTGGGGTCCGCTTTGGAGAAATGGAGCGAGACTCTCTTCTTGCCCATGGAGCAGCGTATCTATTACACGACAGGTTACACATGAGCTCCGATCATCACATTGCTAATGTGTGCTCCATCTGTGGAAGCATCTTGACTACATCTATCATCCAATCAAATACAAAAGCGATACGTGATATGATCGTCGGTAGGGACCTGCCAGGTGGCAGAACCCCCAAGAAGGTAACGTGTGTTGTCTGCCAAACTAGTAAAGGAATGGAGACAGTTTCCATGCCCTACGTCTTCAGATATTTAGCCGCAGAATTGGCAGCCATGAACATTAAAATGACTCTCGAACTGAGCAGTAGTGGGGCAGGTGCTTAAGATTTGAAGTAGAAGACAACTAGTAGCAAAACCGTAAAAGACGTAAAAGAGTAGATGCCTTCAATTCACTTGCTATAAAACCCTTTTTTGGCCCTCAGATTTAGAAGTCTGATATCTATAAAGTAATAAAACTACTTATTGACATTTTTGTGTGGCACTCTCTTAAGTTATATCCTAGTAAAATAGTTTTGATTTTTCTGATTTATTACTGTGGGTCATTATTTTGTTACATGTTTATATACCTTTATGCAACACAATTATGCTCGGAAGAAAAAATCGTATGGTTGCCCTTCTACGTGGTTCTTTGTAGAATTATTTATGATTTACATATGTGGCAGTTAAATGTCTTGATATCCAATCCCATTATTATTTTGTCATATTCACACTTTGGCATGAATCTGAAAGGATGTAAACAAGTCAACCAATTACACACTGATACAGTACCATTTCTTTACCAGGTAATAAGCCCATCTTCACATATGTTCAGATCCCAGAAACCCTTTTTTCATATATAATAAATCAAAGCATATTCCTTAAAATAAAATATTATCTTCTCATCCATCTGCATGTATCCATTTAACAATTATGCTGTTTTTACTACCATTTCTCCTCTTTATATTCTTCCCCAATCTCTCCCAATCAACATCATCAGAGCTTTGTCACCCTCAAGACAAAGCTGCACTTCTATCATTCAAACACAGCTTCTCAAATCCCAATCCTTTCCCCTCGTGGGACCCACTCTTCGACTGCTGTGATTGGTACGGCGTCACATGCAATGACACCACAAACCTCGTAATCAGCTTCACCATTATATCCCAAACCCTAAACGGCACAATCCCTCCGTCAATCTCCAACCTAAAACACCTCCAAATTCTTCGTCTCCACAAAATCCCGAACCTCGTCGGCCAAATCCCTCTTGAAATCTCGAAACTCTCGAATTTAACATCGTTAACTATAAGCTGGACTAATATCTCGGGCCCTTTACCTAGCTTTCTCGTTAATCTCAAGAATCTTGTATTTCTCGATTTATCTTTTAACCGTTTATCCGGTTCGATCCCCCCTTCTCTTGCAACTCTCCCGTTTCTTAGAGGCATCGACTTGAGTAGAAACCAACTCACCGGACAGATACCGGAATCTTTCGGTCACCTACCCAAGACCGCCGAATTTCCGGCGCTGGTTTTGTCGCACAACAAGCTCTCCGGCGAAATTCCCTCGTCGTTGTCCAATGTCAACTTTTCTTTCATAGACATTTCGTCGAACACCTTGTCTGGAGATGCTTCTGTGTTCTTTGGTGAGGGGAAGGCCACGGATACTATTGTGATATCGAGGAACCATTTCGAGTTCGATTTGTCGAAAGTGGGGTTTATGCATTTTTTGATTACTTTGGATATCTCGCATAACAAGATTTATGGGAATATTCCGAAGCATATTACGGATGCTGTGTTCTTGCAGCAGCTGAATGTTAGTTATAACAGGTTGTGTGGAGAGATTCCAACTGGCTGGAAATTGAGATATAGAAAAGATGGTTGGGATAACTCTTCTTTCTTTCATAACAGATGCCTTTGTGGGGTTCCTTTGGATATTCCATGCAAATGATGATGATGATTATGCATCTTTGTTTTTGTTTTTGTTTTTATTTTTTTATTTTTTTTATATATGATTTTACTATGCAATGTTTGTTTGATTTCTGCAGAAGTTGCTATTGAATAGATCATGATCTTGTCTAAGGTGAAACATCAAATAAACCAATTAGAGTGTTGAATTTATTTTATTTATAAATCAAATTTTACCTATGTATAACTTTTTTATACATGTATTGTATGTTTGTATGATATAACACATAAAATTTACCAAAAACACCATAAAACATACTATATTCCACTCGGTGCAACATTTAATGGTTGAAATTGGAACATAATTTTTCGATCCGTCGATTTTGGTCGAAATTTTTCGATTTTGAATCAATATTCTTCATTTCGAATTTCAATTTTTAATTTTCCATGATTTTTGGAATCTGAATTGGAATAAATATTAGATCCTAATTTCTAATCCAATTTCAATTTCCGAAAATTCTGATTTGTTTTCCGAAATTTTAACTAAAAAGTATTGTAGTTGACTAAAACATTGAAATTATCTGGGTTCTGCGAATCACGATGAAATTATTCGTTTTTTGTAACAAATTTTTCCATTTTTATTTATTATTTTCTTTGGAACGGAATTAGAATTAAATTTACACATCCGAAAAAAATTAAAACATCTTAGAAAGTGTTGATTACAATCCCACTCTAGGAGTATAAATTAGTCAAGGTCAAGCCGAACTTGACTGTTTGGCAAGCTCAAATTCATTTAGACGAGTTCGAGTATTTTTTTTCTCATGTTGGAGCTCGAGTCTGAGTCCATTTTGTGTATTTTATTCATTTATTTTATTTTATTAATATTATCAAAATTTTATTAGTATAAATTATAATTAAAAAAATGACTTGGATTTTTTTTTTAATTATTTATATGAATCTATTATTTAATTGTATATTAGTTATATTTAAATTAAAATTAAAAAAACTCGCGATCTCACGAACAACTAAAAATGAGTTTGGGCTCCACTCATCAGAAAGCTGGAGCTCGAAAAACTCGAGTTCAATTTCTAGCTTTTGTCGAGGCGACCCAGTCCATCTGATGAACTTCGAGCTTTTTTTGTCGAGCCAACTCAGCTCATTTACACTCTTAATTCCTAATCCGTCCATCCGACGAACTTCGAGCTTTTGTCGAGCCTGCTCAGTTGATTTACACTCTTAATCCCCAATCCGATTCAAAAGACGGACTTCGGACCTACTCAGCTCATTTACATCCGTAATCCCTAAGCCCTAATCCGAGCCATGTGATTGGGGCACATAACAAAAGCCATAGAAAACGGGTCGGGTCCCAATTCAAGAATTAAATACCAGAAAATTGTGGACAAAGCAAATTTCCAATTTTTTCCAACAGTTGCCACTAGAACCTTCCAACAACTCTGCTCACTCAGTCCCTTCTCTTCTCCCTCACAAAACCAATTGACAAGGGTTTCTCTAGGGTTTTACTCCACGCGCCCATTCCCCCACCGTGTTCGTACAGTTACAGTACCCAACCAAATCAATGTTCCGGTCACAGGGCCTCCGCCTCGCCCGCCGCTCCCTCTCCTCCTTTCTCCTCCCCAATCCCCATTCATCTGTACGCATTTTCCCCTTCATTTCTGTGTGTGTATATATATATATATATATATATTGCGATTATTGTGATAGTGATTGGATACTTGATTCTTATTTGCAGTTGTGCGACTCCTTATTGAAAGGCGGCTGCAGGAGCTTCCGCGCCGCACTGTGCGATCAATCTACGGGTATTTTCAATTTCGGAGTTTTATTGAATGGAAGTTTCAGTTTTTTTTATCCCTTCTTGAATTATGTGATTCCTGATGTTGTTTATTTTAATGGAATACAGTGGGTAATGAGAGGTATTGGTTGAAGGGAGGATTGTTTAACGATATTTCAGGCGCACCAAGGTCAATTCACAGTAATGGTAATGATTTACCCGTCGGTTTTTCATTCTCGGATTATCGGTTTTGTTATAATTTTTCTTCTTCTTCTTCTTGCATTTGGTGAATATGAGGGGGATTTCATGAATGAAAGTACTGTATTTGAAATTAACAAGCTTTTCATGGCTAATTTTTAATTATTAGTAGCAGCTACTTCTAGCACCAGCTTATTCAAAGCCTATTTAGTGAAGCTCAAACGTAAATCGATTGATGGATGCAAAAGTTTTGGGTTTGGGCTTTAACAATTACTCAGTGCATCTTAATCTTGATATGATATTTCCCCCATAATTTTGAACCTGAAGTTTACTTCCCCTTATACTTCGTAGAAGAAATATGACGATGATGACATATGATAATTATGCGACTACTCAAGTGCCCTCTTTCTTCTTTACGTATATGAACATAGGAACAAAAATAATTTCATTAATATCTGTTTTTTTTTTTAAAGTGGACTTGTAATTTATTCTGTGAACTATTAACTATTTGTGATCGGTCTGTTACATCATTAACTTTTTTTTCCGAGTCCTGGTAAAAGTTGCGCATGTGAAGCTAACTGTCTCAAGTCTTAACCTTCTCTTCTTTAATTTTTCTCTTATTTCTCTTTTTTGGATCTTCCCTTTCAGCACAATCGCCGAAAGATTTCTACGGTGTTCTTGGTGTCGATAAAAATGCAACAGCCTCCGAAATCAAGAAAGCTTATTATGGGGTATGTCACTGTCTGTTCACCTTTTTGTTAGAGCTTGCAAACAAACATGTACCTTAGTTATTTTCTCATTTTCTTATGATTTGTTTCCGCAGCTTGCAAAGAAGTTGCATCCCGATACGAATAAAAATGACCCAGAAGCTGAAAAGAAATTCCAAGAAGTCCAGAAGGCATATGAGGTATAATATCTTGTAAACCTTCAGGTTTTACCAAGTAAATTCCCAGGTGTAATTTCTGGGCATTTTTCTTTAACCTTGTTTTAATATCCCAATTTTTGTAGGTCTTGAAGGACGAAGAGAAGCGTCAACAATATGATCAGGTCTTGTATATCTCTTTGCTAACTAATATATGCTCAACTTTTTTTATAAAGGCCTACAGATAATGTATACACCTCTGGCGTCTAATTTGATATATGTATGTGCATACAACGGAGTAAAACTTACTGTTAAATATTAATAATGATACACGAATGATTGGGTGATTTCTTTTAAGAGTCTACCGTCATTTCTCCCTCACCTTCTCTCGTGTATGTGTTCTTTTATTTTGCTTACATTAATATATAGCATTATATATGTAAAGTCTCACATCTTTGAAATTACAAGTCTTCTGGAGAATATATCAGCTGGATTTAGTTCTTAAAGTTCTCTGTGTCATTTTCCGTAGGAAGATTCTCTGTACATGGAGGTGCAGAGATTGCTCTTTTTTTTTTTTTTTTTTCTGTGACAGGAGACGTGATTTATTTAATTAATTAATTTTCTTTTAACCCCCCGGCTGGATTTGTATCAAAAGCACAATTTTCTCTATAAGGTCTAACTAGTCGTTAGAATTTCCATTTAACAGCTCGGCCACGACGCTTTCGAGAGTGCCGGTAATGGTGAAGGTCCTGGTTTTAATCCATTCGCAGGTGGCTTTAATCCTTTCCAGGACATGTTCAGAAATGGTGATGTAAGTCTATTTCTTTTATGTCCCATTCTATATATGACTTTTATTTCCCTTTTTTTTTCAATCTATTAAGATTCCTTACCCTCCACTGGTACCGATATTAAGATTAGATTATATATTTATTGAAATGGTTGAAAAGGTCTTATAATTGCCACGTGCCATGATCACTTCAAAGTGGCTCTTCGTAAATTAATCGTGTACAGCTTCCACATTTTTTTGTCGACTTAAAAGGTTAATCAAGGTCATATAGCAAAAAAAAGAAAAATTACATTATATCTATAGTAATAGTTGATGGATGCATATTTTTTATAAAACTAAATACGTGCAAAATCTGAACTGCTAACAAAACCACCTTGGCAGCCGATTGAATTATTAACCTGCACCATAAAATTTGCCATGTCGAATAATTTTTTTGTCATTTCTTTCCCGGAATTATCTATAACTCCTAGATAACTTTGGAAATCTAATATATGTTTTCTTTTGTGTTTTGGCATATATTCCTGGGGATCAGATTTTCAACATCTTCAACAGGAACATGGGCGGTGAAGATGTTAAGGTTATGCTCTACATTAAATGATGCCATTATGAAGTTAGCGTGCTTTCTCTCTTCAAAATTCAGTCTGACAAATTTTAGCATTAACTTCAGGTTGCAGTTGAATTATCGTTTATGGAAGCTGTTCAGGGATGCGCCAAAACGCTTTCAATCATGACTGATTTGGCTTGTGATACTTGTGGTACTCCCATTTGTTTCCTAGAATAATTTCTTAGAAATTTGTGAAGTACCATCTAAAATTTTCTGCCTTATTTATTGTTTTTGAATCCTTCAAATTTATACTTGATTTAGTCTTACGTTTCAGCAGGTCTGGTTAGCTAGTCATGAATACTATTATGATGTTTATTCATACTGCCTTCTCAATGAATCTTCTTAATTTCTTAGTTTGTTCTTGTCATTCTTTTGATGTTTGTTTTCACAATATGGCTTTCAATCAATCTTCCTGACATATTTAGGTGGAACTGGCGTTCCTCCGGGAACAAGGCCCGAAACATGTAAACGATGTAGGGGCTCTGGTATGGTGAGTACCTTGGGCATCACTTTCCTCCTCGCAGTTGGTGAATTAGTCCTAATACCTTTCTTTTCTATCCTAGATTGTATCGCAAAATGGTCCTTTTACACTTCAATCTACTTGTCCAACTTGTGGAGGGGCTGGAAAAATTGTATCGGTACGTCAGTTTACGTTTTCTAATAGAATGTACAGTACCGGTTAAACCGCAAGTCTGAATATTGTTGCTTTCATCACATTTTTTTAAATATGTTGGGTAAAGTTGTTTACTGAATCGCATGTCCCATGTAGTGGAAAAATTCAGTTAAAATTGTTGGGGTTGCGGGCTTAATTTGGTTTGCTAGGCGACTCGGATAGTTAATGTTATTTTTCATTGTTGCAGTCTAATGGGAAAAAAAAATGTGCAATGGATATTTACTAGTTGCTAAAAGCAAATGATTTATAGTATTTTTACATGTGAGACCAATTCCTTTTGTATATAGAACTTCCATTGTTGTGTCAAATGTTAGTCATTTAACTGTTATATTGCTATATCCATCTTGAAAGTAGTCGATGGCTCAAGCATAATAGTCCTCATTTGGAGTTGCGTAAAAACTAACCTCTATATTCTTACTTCTTGTTGCAACAGAGCCTCTGCAAGTCTTGCAAGGGTAAACGGGTAATGAGAGGGCCAAAGACAGTGAATTTGAATATTATGCCAGGTGAGCTCGGATGACTGTCTATTGATGTTTCATGTTATTTTTGTTGTGCTGAACTTTTTTAGGATTCTGTTTCTCGACTTCCTCCAGCAGTTTTTTGGAAATCAAATGCCCATCAATTGCTAATTTTAATCAAGATATATAATAGAAATGATTTTATCTCGAACTTTCCTGTTACATCATTAGTTGAGAAGGGAAATTGCGGTCTAACTGCATGTGAAATTACATTAATTTAACTTGTTCTCTTATTTTTTTGAACACTACGTATACTGATGAGTAGTTTTTTTAAAACTTTCTTCCTGTTTGGGGGTTTAAAGGGTGGTAAAGATTAATGAAAAGTGGTTTCGAAAGTGATATTCGTGGCTTCTTATTTGCAATTTCATCATGGGCATGATTTGCACGGTCTATCTGCAGGGGTGGATACGAATGAAACTATAAAGATTCCAAGAAGCGGCGGAGCAGATCCTGATGGAAATCAACCTGGCGATCTTTACGTTTTGATTAAGGTTGCTTTATTCTGCTATTCCTTTGCGTAGTTTGACTCTGGTTAATGCTTACATGCTCAAAACCATGCTGGATGTATTTGCAGGTCAGAGAAGACCCGGTATTCCGTAGAGAAGGTGCTGACATCCATGTTGATGCAGTCTTAAGCATCACTCAGGTAATACTCGCTGCAGAACGATTAATTTTCCTGGTAACTCTGGGTTTTTTTTTTCCCCGTCTCAAGAATAACAGAAGGAGATGCTTTTCCTGATGTCACCTTTTTTATATCCGACTGTCATTTTTATGAATGTGGGGCTGGTGTTCATCGGAAATTATTTTCTTTTATAGGCGATTTTGGGAGGAACAATCCAGGTTCCCACACTGACTGGCGATGTGGTTGTTAAGGTTTGTTTAAGAAGTAACTTCTCGTTTATTTTCCTATTAAGTAGATAAAGTATTATCGAATATGTGGACATGGTAATATGAATTTGCAGTGACTTCTAACTTTTTCATTATTTTTGACATTTTTTCTACATTTAACTGGCAACTGACACGGGCTTTCTACTCGTTTCCGCGATCTTTAGGTACGCCCTGGCACTCAACCTGGCCAAAAGGTTGTTTTGAGGAAAAAGGGTAAGCTTTCACCTCGATATTTACCGTCTCCTTTGTTATTCAGATTGTAAGACGCAGCGCAAAATAGGCGTGTTTTGCTTTAGCAGATTTTGATAATTTATTAGCTCTTGTTTTAGCCGTTTCTTTCTCATAGTCACCGAGCAGAAGTAACTTGCTGAGAACGAATTGCTCATCTTTCATGCACAACCTATTTTTCTGAAAAACCTTTTCATCCTCCGTTATGGGGCCCCCAACCGGAGTATAT